GGGCATCTCAGTAGCCTCAAGAATCATCTATTTTACCGGGATGGTATGAAGCTTGATAGATGCCATTAATCAAAGCCACACGGACTCCTATCTGTAGATGACTCATACAGGATCACAGAATCATAGAATGACTTGGTCTAGAAGGGACATTAAATATCATCTAATTCTGACACCCTTGCCATGGGATGCCACCCTCAAGATCACTTATCCATAATGAAGATGACATGAAGCAACAGCCATAATAGAGTCCAGTGCACTCCAGAAGTAACAACCATGTCATGAGCACCAAAGTGTTTCAAAGCACTTCTACAAATCCAGCAAAACAACAATGAATGTGTCCAAGTGAACTGAAGAGCTCACTGCCACTCTTTAATTAATTCTGGATGTGCAGATAGGCATTGGGCTTACACAGTTATATCTCTCCCTGAGAACACCCTAAATGTGGCATCCTGTCATATGAGCACTGTTACACCACAGGAATCACTTGATTTAACGGACATGTGATGGCAAGATAAACTGATGAAGGCATTCCTAGAAATTATCCCAGTGATTTACTGGGATAATGGAAAATTTACTGGGGACCATGATGAAGACAGAGTTCTTTCTAAACCCAGCAATAAGCAAGCAAACCATACATGAATTTTGGCATAACCTGCGTTCCCAGGGAAAACAGGTATATCTTGAGGTTACTGTCTGGCCAAAATCCAGGATCCAAAAGCTACACTTTTTGCCCCTTTCAGCATTACTGCCTTTGTCTCACCCCTGAGAAGCTCAGACCTCAAACTGAGCTTCCCACTCGGAAAATAATTTGAAACTCTTTTGCAGTACTGCACCGTAATCACTTCTGTTGCAAAGCCCTAATAAAATCATTAAAGTATTATACATCAAAAAGCAAGCACTTCATCAGTGTTCTGCAGACAGTGATTGCTTCGTGGGTATATATTCGCTAACACTGCTTAGATGTGACATTCAATCTGTGGATGTAGGAATTTTCTGCTTAAACAGGAGGATCTATGTCCTTGTGGGCTCCCTGATACAGATCTTGTGATGCCAGTATGTCTGATTTTTTCCAGAGAAATGGGAAGGATATATAATAGAGAGTACAAATACTGCCATGTCATTTCTACAAGAATAGGAAGCTTATTTTCATGCACTGTACAGATGTAGATTTGAATCCCCTGTCAGCTGCAGAAAAATATATCTATATATTTCTATAATCTGTGGAAAGAAAGAAAAAAAAAAAAAGCAACAAATCAATCAGAGAAAGGAAGTAGAAGCAAAAATTTGTTGTTTTTTTGTTTCCTTCAAATCTGGAGAAATCAACACATTTTGCACACTCAAAACTTCCAGCAGTGCTAAAAGTCCCCAAAATATCATCCTCACAACCCTTCCTTAAACAAGCAAATTCTCCTTTTAGAGACTGGTAAAGAATCCAAAAAGGCTGCAGCATGAAGTGTCATAGCTATATCCCAGACACATCAAAAAAAGGGTAGTGTGACTGTAACTCAATACAGTACCATATTAACCTTACACCTGCAATAAGTTAAGCCAGTGCTAAACATCCAATGAAAAGATATACTTGAACGTAAGCAATATAGGAGGTCTGGTTTGGAAAGCATACAACACTGTTATGGTCAACAAGCCTCACGAGAAAGGAAATCACGAGCCCCTTCTGCTACTAACAGCTCGATTTCACTGCTCTGAGATAGCCACCAAAGGATATTTGGAACTGCATAACCTTGATGTCACAAGACTAGGTCAGGTTCTCACTCTCTTGGAGACAATGATTTATCTGGGCATTTAATCTACATCAGGGAACTCCCTCAATCCCACATCACGGGACGAATGAGTGAAATATATTGCTTGGGAGCCTGGATTATTAAACTAAAAGTTAGGGAAAGATAAAAATAAATATATTTTTCTTGCACTGTATCAGTATTCAGCAGGATGGGTGTAGCTATAAATCATGCCTCAGAACTGCCTAATGATCCTAGCTCCTAATTCCAGCTCCATGCATCTGTCTTCCTCTTACTCCTGCTCCATTCCCAATTAATCCAGGGTCAGCTGCATTCAGCCAACTCCATCTAGAGCTTCTTATGGGCATTTACATTTCACTTTCCAGCATTTCAAGATCTAAGCATGTAAGTCTTTGAGCTGGCTCTGGAAAGAGTTGACTGCTGAGTGTCACATATACCCTGCTCACACTTCAGCAGCCAAGCTCTGTCTCACTGACTAGAGCTGGCACTCTACTTCGGATAAACTCGTCCTAAATTCACTTGCCACAGATGCATCCTTATCCTGAACGACTCAGCTATCAAAGGCAGAGAAACCATTTCAGAAAAGGGAACAGCCCAATTTGACCGTGAGAAGTCTGTCCTCATCTGAATCAGCATCCCTGTTGATGCCCTTGTAAGCTTTGTGCACGAGAGGTGGAAAGTACATGAATTTTAAAAAGTCAGGCAACTTTGCTTTTTTTATTTATGCAGTAGCAAGACCCTGCAGCTAGGTAAATAAATGTTTTTGCAGTGTACAGACTATCGTACATACCTAATGTCCTATGCTCACTTTCATCCCCCTACTCTCAAATACTCTGACACCTATCACCTGCCTATCACTTTAGCAGAGTGACATTCACCTAGTTAGTATGAAAAAGAACTATTAAGGATGGAAAAGACCTCTTGGAACATGTACAACTGTCAGCCCTCCATGACCCTCAGTGCCATCTGCCTTTTTCTTGAAAACCTCCATGGATGGTGACTCCACCACTTCCCTGGGTAGCCTGTTCCAATACCTCACTACCTCTTCTGAGACTAAATTTTTTCTAATAACCAACCTGAAGCTCCCCTAGAGTACCTTAAGGCTGTTACCTCTCATCCTGTCATCAGTTACTGGAAAGAAGAGCGCTATCTCCACCTTGCCACAACCTCTTTTTGAGGTAGTTCTTAAGTGTCCCCTGAGCCTCTTTTTCTCCAGATCAAACAATCCCAGACAGATAAGATATCCACACATTTAGATATCCACAAAAACTATCATTTTTCTAATAGCCAAGAATATAAATCTTCCAAATGCTCAGTGCTTTCTCTCCACCCATCTTCCACGTTAGAGGATATTCAAGGAAAAACATGCATCAACCTCAGAAGAAAAGGGTTCAAGTGGCAAAGGAGCAAGAGGTTAAGCCATGATTTGCAGCTGGGGAAGCAGAAAATGCTGCTCCAGAGGTCTCACCTGAAGAACTGACCCCCTGCTTGCTCCTGATCATAGAGATATATGCAGCCCACGTGGCTCTCGTGATTCATGGTGTGCTGCTTTTCTGCTGGTGCAGCTCTCACGAGAGAAAGGCAGAGATGCACATGGAGCATTCAGGCTACTTGCATGCATACATCTGGTGGTGAAATGGGGTCAATGTGAAGCATAGATCAGTGTCAGGACAAAAAGAATGGGACACTGAGGGGAAGGCAATTGCTGGTCTTATTCTGCTGAATACCCTGCAACTGTTCTATCTGGAGATGCAATAAGGAAAATAGGAAAAATCAAGGGAAACCTTTTGCGAGAGCCTGAGAAGAGGGGACAGACCATTAGGGTGGAAGGAGAGAGTGGGAGGAATTCTGGGGCTGACAACAGGAGCAGGGAAGCACAGTTAAAATCAGAAGATGCTACTTTTAGCTATCTGGACAATTAATGATAATTCCAAGATCACAAATAATTATTGCAATTAGTGTGTTATGGATTTATTTATGTAGCTGCTCAAGAAAAAAGAAAATTATCTAGCCACACTGTGGAAACGCTCTGAATAGCCAAGGAATTGATTCTTAAATAAAAAAGGAGTAGTTTAGGAGCATGAGCACAAGAGATGTTCTGGGTGAGCAAAAGCCTTCCTGGACAAAGGATCTTCAGCAGTTACTGGGGTGGTTTATGCTACAAATAATTTTGTACATGTAAACATCTTTCCTGATTACACTGATCTATACAGGCTGACTCTTTACTCTCACATCCTCTCCTGTCCCCTAAATTTAGTTCAAAATCTTCCGACTATTATTACTGTAACTATTTTTATTCCTCCAGTTTGCAAAACAGTGTTGATGTGAATTAGAGCAGATCAGATGCGCAGATGATAGCAATGAATTGGAGTAGAGAGACTGCAAACCTATCTGAGAGATTATACTGCATCAAAAAGGTGAGTCAAGTCCATCAGGCACTTCTTCAGATTGTAATGCTAATATAAAGAAATAGAAATCAAAATCTTGCCTCCATTCACAGCTGAACCTCATTAGGAAATGCAGTTATATATACAGAATCAGAACCATGTCCTAAGTACTTGATTTTTTATGCAGGCTGCATGAAGGGAAGCAGCTTTAATAAATTGTGCTACGTTTGGAAAAGCCATTTTAATTCTCTAATTAGCATGCATACAATGAAAACTAACTGTGCATGTTTGTGTATACACATATCCAGAAGAGAGTTTAATGAACTGTATCTACTGCAAACGAAATTGAAGTTTCGTTTTCTCTGTGCTATACCCTGTGATGCAAGTTTCAATGCCACAACACACATCTCCGCATATAAAATACCTTTCTTGTTCCTTTTCTTTCTTTTCCTCTTCAATTCACTGACTTTGGCAAAGAGGGGGAAAAAAAAAAGAAAGAAAAAAAAAGAAGAGAAAAGAAAAAGCTACACGAGTACTCAAGCCTGGCTTCACATTAAAAAGCAACAAAACAAACAACCCACACACTACCACAAAAACACATCTTTCACTGTGGGCCATCATTTCCTGTTATCTACCTAGCATTCTCTGCCTCCAAAAACCAGCACAAGCAAAGCTTTATACAATCAATACATGTCCTACAATCATTAATCACCAACAGAAAGGAACAAAATTAAGTGAGCCTGACAAAAAAAGTGTCCAGTTATGAATAAAAGGATGGAAGAAAGGGAGAGGATAGATGAGGGGAAAAAAATGAAAAGGTTGGGACACAGAGAGATGCAATTCAAAACAGACTCACAGTCCGTCCTGAAGTTCTTGATTATCATTGGAGGTCCCCAGAGATCGAAGACTTCTTTCCAGAGAAGTCACTGTCAACAGCAAAGAAAGAAAAGGAGCATTTTCAGAGAAAAACATACTGGATTTTTACTCATCTTTTAATTTATTTCCTTTCAAAACCATACAGTGAATTAGTGTTTGAACAAGTACCTTGCGACAATATAAGGGAATGCCACTTAACACAAAACAGTTAAAACTGAGTCCCCAAGAGGTGATTATTCCATGGGTGGTGTGACAGGATAGAATAACTACTAATTAATAAATATTAACTACTCCAAATAGCCTCCAAGAAGTTGAGTTCTATCATTCATTCCATTATCTTTTAACTCACTGTTCAAGACTTTTATACTCACTCTTCTGTCTTTTAGCTCAGATAAAATGTGTCTTACTGTTATTATCTGCAGGTTAGCTAAGGAGTTCATTGGGCTTTTTCTATAAGGAGAGAAGAATGCTCAAGTCTAAGTGATTCTAATCAGAGCTGGAAGTAGGAAAGATGGTTTGCATAGCACTACACAGAAACTTCATATTTAAGAAAAAAATGCATAAATACTTGTGGGTGTTCACTGTCACATCTTCATGTCACACTAACAGAAGATCACTTCTTTTGGACTTAGCATATCAAGTACATAAAGCACTTTAAGACATTCCACAGTGAAAGATGCAATATGAATGACATTCTTACTCTTTACATCGGGGATTGTCTTGGGATGCTTCCAGCTGTAAGAACTGATGACCCTGTTATCAGTTATGCTTCAATACTTATGGAACAAAAAGAACACATAAGTAACATGGGTCAACTATTCCAGTACAAATTTAAGATATCTATTATTTCAATGACTGCAGACTCTGTCTCGGTCTGTAGTTCTGAACAAGTCACTTAACTATTTTTCCCCTGACAGAAAAAAACAAATTCCCTCTTTTCTTCTGGGCTTCTGCGGGTTGACACCAAAAGACATATGGACACAAAAAAAGGACCAAATTAACTAATTACTGCCCTTGTACAACATGAGTATCCAACACCAACAGATATTTTCACCTTGCTTACTATACTGCTAGATCTCAAAAGTAGATTTCAGTACAGAGTTTGACAGTTCACTGAGACAAAACCTTAAGTAACTGTTCTACAGTTGAGCTAATAATTATTACACTTTGCTGGACGTACAGTTCTTTAAAGAATAAAGTGTCAGTCTTAAATAATAGCCATTTGCTTTTTTAGGATAAAAGCTTTTTTAGGATAAAAGTTTTTTAGGATAAAAGTTCAGATCCTGAAAAAATCTCACAGATATTATAATTTCCTCCTTCTACTCTGTAATCCTAACAATTCAAGTCTCCCATGCAACCTGTCTATTTCAAAGACAAAATTTAGTATCATCTAAAAATATTCCAGGACCTACCAGCCCTTTGGGGCATTTCAGAGCATGGTGCTTATTCTAATGCCATTGGAGAATGGAGAGTTATGGATTGATGGTTGGACTAGATAATCTTAGTGGTCTTTTCCAACCTTAATGATTCAGTGATTCCAGAATTCTATTTGTATAAAGGTCAGTAATCTCAATAGGACAAGCTCTGGAACAGCCAAAATGTTGGCATTTGATGTGGCTCTTACCTGGGAAATAGCAGAACTGAAATGCAAACTTGAGCCTCCTGGATTTTAGTCTGACTTAGCTCTTTCATATTTTGAGATAGGAATACCTTGCTTTGGCTAAGATTAGTTCTATTGAAACCTGCATGATTCTTGTGCTGGATATGGAAAATCTCTTGGAAGTTACCAGTTCTGAATACTTGAGTTACCAAAGAAGCAGCATGTCAAGATGGGCTGGAGCAATGCCATGAAGCCAATGGTAAAACAGACTTCTTACTTCACAGGCCTTGCATATTTAATATTTAAAAGGCATGTGCTGGTCTTCCAAGATGTTCCACAGAGGTCACTGCCGCTGGACTTGTACTGATTTACATAAACTGAGAGTTAGCCACTGATTGCCTACATCATCAAAATTTTTAAAATCAATGGGGAATGAGAAACTACCCCAGGATGGAAATGGAGACTTTATCATACCTGTGGGATGCTGAAAAACCCTTTGCTCAGCCTCTCAGATCAAGATAATGGGATTGCATGTGGCACCAATCTGTCATGGGGAGATATTAATAAGGAAGTAACAGGAATTAGAGAGGGAAGAGACCCATTAGAGGACTCATATTCTCCATCTGGGCAGAACAGCTCTGATTCTTGCAGTATACCCTCCAGTGATCAGCCCTTTAGCCACGAGGCATCAAGCCAGCTCCTTCTACAAGAGTTTATATATTTACTGGAACAGGCTGAATCAACTGAGTAAGAAAACATAAAACTCACCTAAGCCAAAGCCTTATCAGACAACCTTCCCCATGCTCAATAGGGGAAGTCCCTGAAGAACAGAGAGAAAGCAGGTGCAAAGTACAGGTAAAAGTTCCCACTACCCCTTGACAATTCTGTAAGAGATGACTTAAAAAAAAATGCCCCTACGTTCATGAACTGGCAGTAGAATGATGCAGTAGCTCATAAACATAAGCAATGGATCTAAGGTTTTTATTAAACACACAAGAAAGATGTCCATTTTTATAGCAGAAAGGGGGAGGACGAAGCATTTCAATGTAAGTTCTGCCAAGATCAGCTCAGAGCTGCAACGTTTCTCCTTGATCAGAAGCCAAGGCCTCAAATGGCCAAGAAGAATTTAAATCACTTTAAAGGCTCAGATTTCTGCAAAAATAGTAAGGAGAGCAAAAAGAATCCAAACAACAGAAGTACAGAGTGGAGAGCTCATAACACCTTTAACCTGTCAGTGAGAAAGCATTTCAGATGCCTAGTTTGGTTTCCAGACACAATGGAGAACCTGGAAGTCCCAAATGAGGTTGGGGTAAGGCAGGAAAAGGGAAACTGCCTGGATTTACGCAATCCTGAAGGACGTTCAATACACCATGCCTGGCACAACAGGAGCACAGGGCAACATCTGGTGAGCATGTGCAATGCAGCCACTCACTTCTTGCTCAGCTGCTTGTGTGCTGGTACACAACAGCAGCACTGACTTTTGCTACGTGCTCTGAGACAGAGTTTGCTGGGTTTACTGAAGAGACCAGATGGTGCAGCTGTGCAAGGCAGAAGGGATCCTGGGCACCCTTTCCCATTTTACACCTCTGCAAAGCTCCTTATCTGGGCTGGATTAGCTGTGTAAAATTTTAGCAGTACATTCAGCATCTCCTCCCCTGAAAAGGTGGACGCACTGTTGGGGAAGGGCTTGTGAACAAGACACAAACAAGTTGAATCAAACTTTCTTTAGCAGACAAAAATAACAGAGGTGGTGAAGAGCATAGTATCTTATGGGCATTTATTCAACCTAAAAGCACTTTAAAAAGCATTATAAATTCATAGATTCATAGATTTTAAAGGCCAGAGAGAGCTATTTTGATTATCCTGTCTGATTTCCTACCATAAAATTTCATCCCATCACTCCTATGTTGAGACCATAGACTGCAGCTGGACTAAAGTATCTCCTATAAAAAGACATTTGAATCTTGATTTAAAGGTTCGAAGCCACACCGCATCCATCACGTCCCTCCAATAAGCAGTTCTAATGGCTACTTACCCGCATACAGAAAGATTGAATTTGTCTAGCTTTGACTCCTATCTCCTGATCTCATTATCTGTGAGAATGTTAGATTAATGAGCCCTATGTATCTATTTGATGTCTTTCTTCCCAGAGAGGTACTTACAAGCCATGATCAAGCCCTCTCAGATGTCTCAAACAGAAATTTGGATGGCATGCATTTTAAAGTCCGATTTGCAGACTTCAAACAATTGCCTTAGCTCTTCTCTGTAACCTCTCCAATTTTACAAAACAGTTTTAAGTACAGGCACCACCAATACCTGCTTCAGAGAGCACTCTGTACAGGCAACTCCAACTGAAAGCAAATCTTCACTCACTCTAAGAGCGAGTCTTAAGAGGAGAAATAAAGACCATCTGAAATTACTCAAAACCTAATTGAAGGGATAAATGTAATGCAAAGAACAAAAGTAGAAATTGGATTGCAGCATTTCAACAAAGATAATGCATTCATCTTAAGGATTTCTCACGATAAACTCCACTAGAAGAGCAGGAATTTGGATTACAGCTCAGATATACTTTGTCAGCCCTAACCTGGCTACCTTGTGTACTGACAGCAAACAAGCAGCCTGCAAAACTTCACAATGAATCCTTCATTGCCAACAGCCAGTATACTATTATATCATCATTATCAAAGTAGCACCGTTAGTGCTTGGAAAAAGTAAGACCAGTGCTAATTCAGGTTTTTCTGTATAATAAAGCCATACCCACATCTGTAAGCCAAGTACCATTGGCTACAATTGAGAGGTTCAAGCTGCCAAAGGCAGCCATAAGCCCTGGTCAAGGTATTGAGGTTTTCTCAAAGAAAAGATCAGGTAAAAGGACCAGGGAGTCCTGGTGGACAACAAGTGGAACTTAAAAGAATAAGGTGTTTTTCCAGCAAAGAAAAGAATTGTATCTCAGGCCGCATTAGAGGGCAAGACTTCCATTCTGCTCAGCCCTGGGGAGGCCATACCTGGTTTAGTGGGTCCAGTTCCGGGCTCCCCAGTACAAGAGAAACATGAACATACTGGTGAGAGTCTAATGAAGAGGCACAGAGCTAATGAAGGGACGAGAGCACATTCACTACAAAGACAGGTTGGAACAGATGACCTCCAGAGCTTTCTTCCAATCACAACCACTCTGTGATCGAACAAATTTCTCGAGCTTCTGCAGTAGGTGGTTATGCCTCACCCCAAGTACTATCAGTCCAATTGCTGCTCTCCACTATCACAAAGGACACAAACAAAAATGCAGCACAACGGCGACTCAACTTTTGCTCCTTGAAGAAGGCTGCCAAACTTGTGGCATGCGAGTAGTTTTCCAGAAGACCATAAATAACATGTTCCTTAAACAACTGTTCGTGTAACGTATCAATCAGTTATTCCTCTTAAAAATAACAACCACCAAAAAAAACAAAAACAAAACCAGAAAACAACCATGAAGTGTCCTTTACCCGTTTTTGCCTTCAACTCATTTAGAATCACGTTGTATGTGTAGCAGAACTACTGAAGAATCATAGACTCATGCAGAGCATCTCTGGAGGTCTTAACATTCTGCTCCAAGCAGGTCCATTTGAAAGCAAGGTCCTACTCCAGCTCTGCATATCTCCAAGAGCAGAGATCCCACAGCCTTCCTGGGCTCTCGTTGCCATGTTTAATCAACCAGATGGTCAGAATTCTTTTCACCACACTGAATTGTGATGTTCTGTGTTTCAGCCTGTGCTTACAGCCTCCCATTCTTCCACTATGAGCACTGTGACAGACGTGGCTCCATCTTTTCAACAGTTACTCTCTAGTTTCCCACTGAAATTAGAATAAGGTCATTGTGAATTCACGTTCTACTTCTGATTCATTAATACTCCCAGCTCTTTTCTTCAAAATGCATTTAAAGCAAGCAAACATCCATCCTGTCTTGTTGTATGGGGTTATTCTACCAAAAGCACAGAAGGAAAGTGTGAAGAATTATTTTTCTTCTGATTTTACAGAAAACCAGGTACCCAAATACCTTCACAGAGCCTACCCAGCACCTGCTTTCACCTTCAACGTCACCTTCTCGGATAGTGGAGAGCAGCGAAATCTGACTGGTGAGAAGTATTTTGGTGCTACAGGTGGTCCTGAAGCTCTGACTCAAGATAAAGATGACTGTCAAAAGCAAACTCATATCTATCAATCCCTTACAGTCATAGAAAAATGTGTGCTCAAACTTGCCTGGCAGATGGAGGCATGACTGTACTGCAGCATGCAAAAATGCTTATAGACAAACAATGCCTATATTTCAGAAGAATTGCTTCCCATCCCCCTTTTAGCAAAGATCCCTTACTAGAAAGATTGAGACCTTTCCCCAGAATATATGGGGAGAATTAAAACAATTTGTGAGACACTAAAATCCTTTCTTTGCATCCCATCCAGCTCTCTTTCTTACCTGATGCTCTTATACACAATCAGACCAGAGACAGAAGCTGATCTGGAGATTCAGAACATCAGCACTCAATGATCTTAAAACCTTGTCTGGCAGCAGTGCTTTAGAACTGGGATACAACAACATTAACTGCTATTCAACATTAGTTTTCACCTATCTGCAAAATGCAGCTCTACATTCTATCCCAGGTGAGGCATGATGAGCTAGAGCACGTCTCCAAAGAAGGGAAGAACTCTGCACCTCCACTGTGTTGGGAGATATGAGGATCATATTGATGACTGAGCATCACTGTTCAATCTTTAGAGTGAAGAGTAATAGAAGAGCTTTGGTGTTGGTGTTTTTATAAGGGAGATAGATGTTTTGCAGGTTGGTATGACAGGCTCTGAACACAGTAGTGCTGTGATACATTAGAAAATGAGCCTGGCTTGTTCCACCTTTCTGCGTTCTAATTCCCTATTGTAACAGATGACACGATTAAAAATAGAAAAGGATGTGGACTCCGTAAGAACTGGAATATATCTGAGCCTGTTTAATGCAACATATGGTGGAATATTTTTACATCTTATAATGAACTGCGTATTGGACATGTGCTGGTGCTCATGAGATGCAGCAGCAAGAAAACTGCATTAATATTTGCTCCCTGACAACAGGAGCTGTCACACACTGTGTACACGCACAGGAACCATCAGCAGGACAGCACACAAACGACCAGGAAACCTCTTATTATACGCACCACTGGAGTTAATTCGGAAGACATTGGCTGAAGTCTCCTGAAAAAGTTCCTGTAGTTCACTGGGATCAATCTGGGTGGCTGCAAAGACAAAAAGAGAGATCTATTAATACTGGAGACCACCATCACTTTGAAAGGGTCTCTAAACTCCCATCACAGCCTCTGAAAGGGGATGACCAGCAGAGAGCATCTGTGATAGAGCTGACACCAAAATATTACTTGTTATATATGCACACGCACAGGTTATGGCAAGGATGATGTGCTGTCACACTCAGCGCAGGGAACTGTCAATATTACCACCTCAAAATGCTATCTGATCACACAGGGAAACACCAGTAACACAGGGCTAGAGCATCATACAAAGAAGACAGATATTTCTTCTCAAAGCAAAATTCTTGTAGGAAAAATAATACTTGCTCGTCTGAATCACAGTGTTGCTTCAACAAGAAGAGGACTGATGGGGAGCCCTGTTCTGTCCCAACAGACAAATCATTTGCTGCTCAGCTGAATGATGTAATAAAACACTGAATCCAAACTCCTGCATGCATGCTCTCTTTAATAAAAATGACGATTAACCATTAATTCATCAGTGTGGGTTCCTCCTCACTGGAAATTTAGCCCAATTAGAGGGTCCAATGGAGCTTTACACAGTGCCAGATCATACAACATGCACTGGAAAGGCCAGATGCCTTTGCCAGAATCATCAGGACAGGAAAGGCAATGATCAGATGTATCAGATATGGCTTACATGGATCAAGGCAGCCTCTGCAGGAATTATTAGCAATTGCAATAGTAATATTTCTGCTCATTTATCAAGTGGACATAGCAGAACTGCAAATGAATGAGAAACTGCAAGCACAATAACACAGACAGGCAGAGCAAGGTCCTGCCTTCAGAAAAGGGAGAGGGAGCAATGAGAAGAAAAAAAACGTTTGGGGCAGGTGGGGGATGGGAGCTCAAAAGTTCTCAGCACATTCATCTTCCTGCACAGCATCCCTGGGATAGGCTTCTCTTATTATTTCTTCCTGATATCCCAACAGCAAGTGTTAAGGAGACAGTGCCCAGAATTGCTAGTGGTGCTGCCCAGGTGACTTCCTTAAGTGCCACTTTGGCCAATGTACCTGAATCTTTCCTACAAGGAGAGCACAGAATAGGACAGAAGATTTGAGTACTTGGTTTAGTTTTAATGTTTTATTTTGTTTGGTTGGTAATCTTCATTCCCCAACATAAAGCCCCATGAAACTACTTGAGGTCCTCCAATGCTTCATCATTGCCAGAGAAAGGTGGGTGTGAGGCTGGACTGAGCTATACTACAGAGAAAGGATGTCTCATGTACCCTTAAAACCTTAAAAAGAGTCATATTTTGATAGACAACAGTCACCACAGGAAGTCGTTTGTCCACTTACACTTTCGGAACAAGGTCTAGAGCAGATTTTCCCACGGTTTAGTCCCATTCGGACCCCACCTTTTGCAGTTTTATGGAAAACTGCTCTACCACAAATGTTGGCCAAGCTCAAAGCACCACAGTCCTTGTCCACTTGACATGCCACAGTGCATTTAAACCACTGCTGTTACTGGCACGCTGCACCTCTGAGCTGAAGCATTACATATACTCAGATAGGAGCTGTAATTCATATTTCCAGGCAGCAGACTGTGACTGCAACACAGTCTGCATCCCTCAACCAGATCTCCCAATGCTGTTAAAATGCCATGCTCTCAACATGCATTTGAAAGAGCAGAACGTCAGCAATAGGGCAAGGCAAAAGCTCTGCATCCTGAACAAAACGAAAAGCCCTCCTAATGCACTACTCAGGATGGCCCTGAGGATACGTCCCTCACCACTAAACCACGTCCCCCAGTGCCACAACTCCAGGGATAGTGACTCCACTACTTCAATGGGAAGCCTGTTCCAATGCCTGACCACACTTTTGGAGAATAAATCCTTCCCAACATCCAACCTAAACCTTTCCAGTCACCACTCAAAGCCATTATCTCTTGTCTATCATCACTAGTTACCCTTGAGAAGAGGCCAACTCCCAGTTCACCACAACCTCCAAGCTGCTACAACCTCCTTTCAGAGAGTTGCAGGGAGTGATACAGTCTCCCCTGAACCTTTTTCTCTCCATGGCAAACAATCCCAGTTCCCTCATCACTTCCCCTAAGACTTGTGCTCCAATTCCCTCATCAGCTTTGTTGACCTTCTCTGGACATAAAGAACACAGAAATGTTAACAGCTGTGAAAACAGCTTTCAGAAGCTTCCATGTTTTGGTATTGTGGGCGATGAAGTAGCATGATAGACATGGACATGTTATAAGAGCCCAACATGGTGCTGCAAGATCTTGAGCAATTCCACTGGGAGGAGAGGCTGAGAGAGAAACCAGGAAGTTTTCCATTGCCTCTCACCCATCCCACATGCAGCAATACTTGTGTGAGACAATTCAGCCCCAACCCAGCCATAAATAAAGTCCTGAATCAGACTGTCAGGTTGACACAAATCCAGAGCATTAAATGGTGTTTAATCAAAGTGCACAGGGTCTTACTGCTAGAGATGTTCCCACTCTTCTCTTTCTACAGCTCCTCCTAAATCAGCTTTCCCAGACACCACTTTCCTACACTTTATATATGGGGCTATATAACACAAGAAATTAGCTTGTGCTTACCTGTCCCCTAGGAATTGCACTTGTTACTAACTAGATCCAGCTTTCATTAAATCACTGAGAAAGGAGCAGAAACAGATAAGATTTTAGATCTTTATAGACAGCAGTGACCTTGGTTTGGGGGAGTTTTGTTTGTTATTTTTAACATAACTCAAATTTCTGGGTTAGTAATATGGCAGTATAGGCTCCATCAGAGGCTATTGCACATCATGGGCATGATATGGCTTAAGTTTGGTTATAAATTTCTAATTGCATAGGGAATGATACTCAGTGATGGAGGTTTTTTGAATGAGGTTTGGTTTTTTGGTTTGTTTCTTTTTTTGGAGGGGGGGAGAGGAGAGGAAAGAAGAGTTTATTTACGTGACTATATCCATTCTTTCCTTAAATATCCATCAGTGTTAAAAGCCCTGAATTTGATGCATTTTTGTCCTGGCCCAGGGATCCTGTGTCCATACGCTCATACGAACTTTGATGAGGAAGTCCCAGATGAAGCATGATGCAAACAAGTCAGGGTTGTAAACTCCTCCAAGTCCTGAATTACAAGAACCAAGCAAGACACAGTACTATATTAATTGTCCCCCTCCACCAAAAATAACAAAGATTGCAGACTTCAATTTATTTCCACATCTAAAATATCTAGCAGAAACCTCCAGGGAAGGAAGGTGGAGGAATGATGTCTTTTAAAATGCCAAGCACACCCAAAAGCAAAAGCAAAATAACTTAAATGCTGCAAAAGACAGAAGCAGCATTCATTTCAGTGCCATACACACCTCTACTTTGTTGGACCTAGATGACCTTTAAGGTTCCTTCCAACCTAAGCCATCCTGTGGTTCTATAATTTTGGAGTTCCTGTAACACCAAGAGAAACAAACATTGAGCAGCACCGTGTGCCCACTGTTGGACCATAAAGGAACTATGTATAAATGTATAAAGTATATATGTATATGTATATATGTATAAAGTAACAACTAGCCAGAAATTTGGGTGCTAATTTGAGAAAGCGGGGTTTGTCCGATTTCCTGCAATTCACTCTACTGCATTTCCCTAATGGAAAAGAGGTGAACTCTGACAGGATGATCTGTGAGTTCGTCCTTAACTTTTTAAGTCTAATCAGGATATATTTATTTTGGCTGAATGCAAGAGGACTCCACAGAATCGCAGAATCATAGAATGGCTTGGGTTGGAAAGGACCTCAAGGATCATCAAGCTTCAGCCCCCCTGCCACAGTCAGGGCCAACAACCTCCACATTTTATACTAGACCAGGTTGCCCAATGAAGTCCTCCTTCAAAGTTTTAAATCTCAATACAAAAACATCAGAGAGACACACATCACCTCCATGCCTCAAATAAGTGTGAATTATATGGAAAAGAAAAAGAAAACAAGGAAAAAAAAGAAAAAAGTAAAAGAAAACCACAACAAAAACACAGAAGTGGATGCAACCTTTGGCTAGAATTTCCACAAACACACTTTTAAAATGCAATGCTCAGAGAATTGTTATCTGATGAAAACGATATTGCATCTGATAAAACAACACTGCATCTGGCTTACAAGTTCTTGCCCTGCCCTTGGACTTTTTGTGTTAGAAAATGCTGCTAGTTCTGGTTGTCTTTTGTTTTCATTTAAGAGAAGAAAAGAAAATAGTAACAGGGATGTTGTTTTAAACTGCTGCTGCCATTCTGAGCTTCCACACATCAAGCAGAAATGTTGTAACTATTCATGGAACACTCAACAGTCCAAGCAGACAAGCAAAACAATTTAAAAACAGCAGCAGAAAGCAAAGCAAAAATACATCTGTACTGCCAAGCTAAGTGAAGACATACCACGACTAAGAAAAAAAGAGAATGCGAGGCACATTTGTGTCTACTAAAAAATTAAATGTCTTTGACTACATAAAGCAAGTGCTAAAATAATACGATTCCCCAAGAAGGAGTGTGAAGTTGCTGATATGCAGTAAATACTTTGCATGCACCAGTGCTAATAGAGGTCAGGGCGACAATGGGGAAAAGGTGACTTTTAATTATGCTTCAGGTTCTGAAAGTTTGCAGTAGAAATATACAGAATTTCGTGTGAAAATCACTTCTTCTCTTCTTCCTTAAATACCAAAAAACAGTTTTCCCGTATTTTCCCCATTTGCAGAAACCCCTTGGCAAGGGAAAGGGCAACCCAACTTACCAAATATTGATTAGCCAATCTATCTATTTCACAGAATAAAAGATTCATAGAATCATTATGACTGGAAAAGATCTATACGATCATGTAGTCCAACCATCCACTTACTGCCCACTGCAGCGGCAGCTAACAATAACATTTCTGATATTTTCCTACCACTTCATGATTCTCCTGCCTTTTCCTTGAAAAGTAATACAGACATCCACATCAGTGCAGCAAAGGGAAATGTTGAGCACTTAAGCCCATGCTTTAC